GTTGGTTCTGCTTTCACTCTCTTGCCTTAAAAATTTTTCTTTTTTGTGGTAATATACACATGCCATAAAAATTCACCAATTTTTAAGTGTATAGTTCAGTTGTAGCACGTGTCGGTATTTGCTTTCTTTTTAAAGCTGAATAATACACCATTGTTTGTATGCACCAAATTTTTTCATTCATTCATCTGTTGCTGGACACTTGGGTTACTTCCACCTCTTGGATTTTGTAAAGACGAGTGGACATATATCTAAGTCTCTGCCATCAGTTCTTCTTCAATTCCCAGAAGTAGCATTGCTAGTCCAGATAGTAACTCAGTTTGTAATTTTTGGAAGAATAGCCACGTTGTATGTCATATCATCAACACGATTTTATATTCCCAGCGATAGTGCACAAGGGTTCCAAAGGGTGTTTTTACTCTCTTGATGGTGTCCTTTGAAGCACAAAAGTCACTAGTTTGGTGAGGTCCAAATTAACTATTTTGTTCCGTTTTTGCTCTTCGTGCCTTATCTAACAATTCTTTGCCAAATGTTTTATCTAAACTATGTGTTATAGTTTATTCTTCTGTGGAGGTCTTTATCCTTTCTGGTAAATTATTGTATGTGGTGTCATGTAAGGATAAAACTCTTTCTTTTCCATATGGCTATCCAGTTGGCCCACCACCAATATATGCAAAGAGTATTCTTGCCCCATACTTGGTACCTTGTTCAAACATCAGTTGACCACAGATATATGGGTTTATTTCTCAAATCTCAACCTATTCCATAGATCTGTATGTTGATCCTTTTGTCAGTATCACACTCTCCTGATTACCCTTGCATATTACAAAGTTTGAAATCAGGAAATGTTAATTCTACCACTCTTTATTTTTCCAGATTGTTTTGGCTATGCTGGTTCCCTTGCAATTGCACATAACTTTATGAAAGAGCTTCCCAATTTGTATAAAGGAATAAGCTGGGATCATGACAGGTATGTGCTGAATCTCAGATCATCTGGGGAACAGTGCCATTTCAACAACGTTAAGTCTTCTGATCCATGAAATTGGTATGTTTTCCCATTTATTTATACATTCATTAATTTCTTTTGATCATATTTTGCAGTTTTCTGAGTATTCATTTTGTACTTATTTTGCTGAATTCCTTAGTATTTTATTTCTTTTGATTTTATTGTCAGTGTTTCTTTTTTTTTTTTTTAAAGATTTTATTTATTTCCCCCCCTCTAAAGCCCCAGCAGATAGTTGTATGTTATAGTTGCACATCCTTCTAGTTGCTGCACATGGGACACGGCCTCAGCATGGCCGGAGAAGCGGTGTGTCGGTGCGCACCCGGGATCCGAACCCCGGGCCGCCAGCAGCAGAGCGCACGCACTTAACTGCCAAGCCATGGGGCCGGCCCTGTCAGTGTTTCTTAAATTTATTATCAGATTGTTCATTGCAAGTATATACAAATAGAATTGATTTTTATATTTTGATCTTGTATCCTATCATTTTGCTGACCTTAATTATCAGTTCTAATAATGTTTTAAGTGGATTCCTTCATGTTTTCTGAAAACAAGATATCTCAGCTGGAAGTAAAGATAGTTTTACATCTTTTTAACCACTTTTTATGCATTTTATTTCCTTTTCTTCCATAATGGTTGTAGCTAAAATCTCCAGTACTTGCAGAATAGAAGCAGCAAGAGCAGACATCCTTCTTTGATTCCGTATATTCAGGAAAAAGCATCCAGACTTTTACAATTAAGTATAATATTAGCATGGGTTTTCCATAGATGCTCCTTATCAGGTCAGCAAATTTCCTTCTACTCCTAGTAATGAGTGCTTTAATCATGAAAGGTACTGGATTTTGTCAATTATTTTCCCTGAGTCTATTGAAATGATCTGCCATTTTTGCTTTTATTCTATTGATATCCTTTATTACATAACTGGATTTTGAGATGTTAACCCAACCTTTCATCCCTGGAATAAATCCCACTTGGTCATGGTGTATAATTCTTTTATATATTGCTGGATTGGGTCTGCTAGTATTTGTTGTACTGGCCTCACAAAATGAATGTGAAGTGTTCTCCCCATTCTAATTTTTAAAAGAGTGTGTTAAGAATTGGTATTAAAGAACCTTTGACTGTTTCAGAGAATCCTGTATTGACGCCATCTGGGACTAGCTTTACTTTGTGGATGGTTGTTTGTTTACTAACTCAACTCTTTCACTTGTTATAATTCTATTCAGATTTTCCATTTATTCTTGGTTTAGGTTCAATAAATATATACTGTATTCTACATTCTCTTTCTATATACACATATACACACAACATATACACTATATGCAGCATTGCATAATTTTATAGTATATACTACATTTTTATACAGTACAAAATATCGCTTTTTAATATAGATGAAAAAAGCCTCCACAAAATACTAGTACACCGAATCCAGCAATATATAAAATGACTTGAACACCATGACCACAGGGGATTTAACCCAAGAAAGAAATGCTGATTTTACATCTGAAAGTGAATTGACATAAGAAACCACTATTACAATCAACATCAAAAACTACAAGATCATCTCAATAGATAAAAACAAGCATTAGACCAAGTTCAACACCCCTTCACAAGGAAAGCACTCAATAAACTGTGATAAACTCCCTCAGTAAACTACCTCAACCTGAAATAAAGCATCAATGAAAACCCACAGCTGACATCATTCTTGATGGTGAAAGACTGGAGGCTTTCTCTCTAAGATCAGAGAGAAGACAGAGACGTCTGTTCTCACCAGTTCTACCCAACGTGGTAGGAAAGACGCTACCAGGGCAATTAGGCAAGAACATGGAAAAAAACAACCATTCCAGATTTCAATGAACATACACATATAGCTCCAGAGACAGATGTACAGAAACACACAGACTTTGTCACAGCACATATCGGAAAACACACTCAGACACAGACACGCAAACTCACAAACTCTCAGAGTTTGTGACTCAGAGACACACAGATGTTCCCATAGACACACAGCCCAGGCCCTCTGCACTCCTCCCCACTTTACTTTTTATGGCCAATCATCAGACACATTGTATAATTCTATTTATATATTTTCTTTCTTCTTTCCTAGAATGTCAGCTTTAAAGCAAAGAGAAATATTTGCTCTGCTTTGTTCAACAAAGCACCTACCAGAAGGCCTGTCACACCAATATTTCTTGCATATTGAGGCTTATCGAGAGACAGACAGAAAAACACATATTCACTCATATGGAAGCTTGACCTCATCATAGGCCCAGATCTTCACGAAGTGAACTGTTCTCACTCCCATCCCACCTGGTAGAGGGGTGTCTCCTGGCTCCCAAACCAACCCCCAAAGAGGGTGTCTCAGATCCTCTAGATGGGGAAGGGATTTCACCCTTCCTGACACCATACAGGACAAAAAGTACATCTCTATAAAAAACACAAAATTGGAGACCGGATGGCAGAGTCAGGACCCAAAATGGCTGGAGTCATTATTTCCAGCCCATCTCACTGCTACAAAAGCATCCAGAAACTCACTCATCATGAATTGTCCCTCTGTCACTTTGCTTTTCTGTTGTGAGCTCAGTGAGGGGCCAAAGGTGAGTATGTCCTTGCTCAGCACCCATGTCCTCTGATGCGGGCTCTTTGGTAAACATCACCTCTGCTGTGGACTCATATTCCCACAGACCTCACTCAGTCCCCCCCACGGTGGCCCCACCATCTTAACTGAACACATTCTCCTAGGATCAGGGTCCAATTTATACCCTTGAGATTTTAATTTATGGAGGTGATGAAGTGACAACATGGACAGGCCAGCAACATATAAAGATTTTTATTACTTACACTTCCCAAGATAGAGAGGCATGCCATGCCAGGCAGGGTCACAGGTGATGCATCAGGTTTGCTCAGGAGTTTGACAAAAATTTAGGCCTCGGGGCCGGCCCCATGGCTTAGCGGTTAAGTGCGCGCGCTCCGCTGCTGGCGGCCCTGGTTCGGATCCCAGGCGCGCACCGACACACCGCTTCTCCGGCCATGCTCAGGCCTCATCCCACATACAGCAACTAGAAGGCTGTGCAACTATGACATACAACTATCTACTGGGGCTTTAGGGGGAAAAATAAATAAATAAAGTTAAAAAAAAATTTAGGCCACAGCCTTCATTTGGAGTTCCATAGGAAATGTAAGGCAGGTCAGAGTAAGCAGCTAAGGATTGGCTACTTTGAACAATTTCAGAAGCCTCTGGGGCACAGGGATAATCCTCAGTCATCTGGTACCTGCCCCTGGGTTGGTTTAGGGCAGGGGAAATATCGTCTTGGTGTGTGAGAGGTGGATAAGGAGGTTTGTAGGGACAGGGCACTGGACCGGGTGGTGTGCACATGAAAGGCCTGCTCCAGACAAGCTGTCCACTGCCAACATGGAAGTAGGCCCCCCTGGGAGCGGCAGTGTCTCCCTATGTCTGAGAGGCCTCCAAGATGTCAGAACATTTTAAGAGACAGAAAATAAAACACATGATTAACACAATCAGAAAGAAGACAGGGATGTGTCTGCTCACATCAGTCCAATTCAACATGGTGAGGGAGGTGCTACCAGGGCAATCAGGCACCACATGAAATAAAAGCATTCCAGATTTTAAGGACATACACACCCCCCCCTCCAGAGAGGCATACAAAATCTCAAAGGCTTTCCCACTGGACATACATGTGCACACACCCACACACAGACACTCAAAGTCACAAACCCACAGAGACAATGGCCCAGAGACACACAGCCCAGGCCTTGAAGAGGGGAGACTCAGGGCCCACAATGGCTGCAGTGATCAAGTGTTCCAGCCCCTCACGCTGCTATGATCACTTCCACAAATGTGCCCCTCACCACGTGCCCCTTTCTCACTTTGCTTTCCCATTGGAAGCTCAGCGCAGACAAAAAAGATCCATGCGTCCTCACCCAGTTGCCAAGTCCTCCACTGTGGTCTCCACAGTCTGGGATTCATCATCCCCTGAGGTCTCACCTGCACACAGACCTCGTGCGAGTCAACCCCACAGGTAGTCCTCATCGAGGCCTTGATCACTACCCCAACCTGGAACGTTCACTGATGGGGGGTGGAGGCCTTGGGACCTCAGACACCAAGACTCCCAGCCACAGAGACATCACCTCGAGACAAGCACTGGAGTTGTTGCAAGAGCACCTTTGGATGAGGCTTGCCTAATTTCTGCCTCTTCCCTTCAAGATACAGTAGGTGTGGCCTCTGAAAAATGAGAGGGGAGCATCACCTGTGCCTGTGCACTTCTGGAAAGGTGGAAACCCCTGCCATTTCTGCTACTTCCTTTGGCATGGTGCCCATTGCATTCTGGGAGCCATGTGAAGGGAGGAGCCCCAGGACTGCAGAGGGTCTGGCTGAGAGCACCATTTCCCACAGGCCTCAGGCTGGAACTCTGCAGGGTGAGTCCTCTTCCAGAAAAAGTTAACACTGGCCTTGGTGGGCGGGCTCCAAACTTACCCTGGAGGCGGGTTCTGAGGTGAGGGAGCCATGGGTGGTCAGCACACGAGCCACTGAAACCCCAGGGTGGAATGTGCCAGATCCTAGGGCAGGTTCTTGCATCAGAAACCTATGGACAACTTAAGGCCATCATGGGTACCCCAGGAATCATGACAGAAGGTCACTGAGGCCTCTACAGTGAAGGAGTCTCTGAGGTCACTAACAGGCGTGTTGGTTGTATGACAATTTGAACAGAGTCTCCAGACATTTGTGGTAGGGGTGCCTATTCAAGGTGGCAAATTTGCAAGTAACAGCACAAATGGGCTCAGGTACAACTTGTAAACAAGGAATATATTGCCCCTCAAAGATAAAGAGAACCTAGTACATGTGTGGGTGCTGAGGGGAAAAATGGCTATTTCTTCATGGTGTCAGAGAAGGAGCAGGTCTCAGATGATCAAATTATTTCCAGAAATTTAACGAAGTTGTCAGGGCCTCATATTATATGCATGGCAATGTCCCATCCACTTTTGTGAGCTACTTTTTTCAATATTTGCATGTCCTGAATGTCCTCAGAGGTGGTGTCACTAATATAACATGATACCTGTGTTCTTGGAGAAACCAGGATGCAGTTCAGATCCTGCTGCAATGACTGTGTGGGAGGGCACAGCTGTTGAAGATCCACGAGGATAACCCAGTAAAGGCGCATCACATCCCTTCAGAGGGGAAGGAAAGTGCACCTGCGAGGCTGTTGACATAGGCACTGACAGAACAGACTTAGCCAAATCTGTGAGAGCTGGATATTTATCAATTGCTGATTGGTTGTAGTCAGTAATTTCCACACTGTTGGGCACTGGGTATAGAGGTCTGTGTGGTGCAACCGTAGGCTCAAGCTGAGGTAAACCACTCTGAGGTGTCATTCGTCCTTTCCAGGTTTAATAACAGGACAAATTGGGCTGTTAGAAGAAGCACTGGGAACAGTCCACCCTTCACTAACTAGGTTTCCTATACAGTTTTCAACCCTTCAGGGCCTTCGGTAATTTACATTGGGCCATATTAACGACTTGATTTGTGGGGTAAGGTCCCTGGGGTCACAATTTGTCAAGCCAATTTGTAAGTGGCAGAGACTTCATTTAACTGTAATTCTTGATCATTGGTTCAGAGCTTCCCAGCTCACTATGGGATATTTTAGGATAATAGGTGTTATGACCATGGAGAATTTAGACAAACCATAGTTCCGAAGGCTAAAGATGAAACATTTGGGCCGGCCCCGTGGCTTAGCGGTTAAGCGCGCGCGCTGCGCTGCTGGCAGCCTGGGTTCGGATCCCGGGCACACACCAACGCACTGCTTCTTCGGCCATGCTGAGGCCACGTCCCACATACAGCAACTAGAAGGCTGTGCAGCTATGACATACAACTATCTACTGGGGCTTTGGGGGAAAACAAATAAATA